GCGACTTGTGCCACTGCCGAGTGCTACGTGCTGGCTGCCATGGCTTATGATCGCTACGTGGCCATTTGTAACCCCCTGCTCTACTCCGTGGTCATGTCCCAGAGGCTTTGTGTTGGGATGTTGGCTGCTGCCTACTTAGCTGGTGTGATCAGCTCCACCATACACACAGTTTCCATATTTCGTCTCCCATTCTGCCGGTCCAAGAGGATCAATCATTTCTTCTGTGATGGACCACCGCTGCTAGCCCTCTCCTGCTCAGACACCCATGTCAATGAAGTGATGGTTTCTGCCGTGGTGGGGTTCAATGTGCTAAGCACCATGGTCTTCATTTTAGTCTCCTACTTGTCGGTCCTCTCCACCGTCTTGCGGATGCGCTTCAAGGCCGGTTGGCACAAAACCTTCTCCACTTGTGCCTCTCACTTGGTCTCCATTGCTTTGTACTACGGCAGCTCCCTCTTCATGTACCTGCGCCCTGGCTCCAGACACTCCTTGGAGCATGACGAGGTGGTGTCCATGCTGTACGCCATTGCAGTCCCCATGCTGAACCCGCTTATCTACAGCCTAAGAAACATGGACATGAAGAACGCCGTGAGGAAAGCAAAAGGTAGAGTCCTCTCCTCCTTGTCCATCCACGGTTCCTCGTCAGCTGAAAGGAGAGGGCTACACTTCCATGGTAAGGAGGGTTAGGTATGGCACCTTCAAGAAGGAGAGTTAGATATCGCACCTTCAAGAAGCAGGGACTAAATGCACCTGGAAGCAGGATGCCTGGAAAAACACATTTCCCCTTGAACCAAGGCTACGTGCCGTGCTAGGAGGGACAGGACTTTCCCTGGCTGTAGCCTGAGACCTGACAGTGGCCATGTGTTGGGCAGAAAGTTATTATCCGGAATAAATGTTATTTAACTATTACTTAAAATAAATATTATTTATTATTTAGTATTATAAAAAAGTCATAGTCAACTTCATTTCAGGCTTCAGAGAGCTGAAGGGAGAATGCAGGTGGTGGCTTTGCCCTGCCAATGTCAAACCAACCAGTCTCTGATCTCTCATGTTTTATATTAACTCTAGTTAATATAAAAAATAGAACCTCTGGTGATGTTCCTGGTATTAGGAGGATGTTAACTGAATTTTCCAGAGGTTTTAGGTCTAGACCATGACGTGAGGTCACGTGAAATAGCGCTGTGATGGTGTGTTGGTCATCAAAGCACTCATGGTAAATGGGGACAAATCATATTTGAGCCTCTGCTCTGCCGCAAATTTAACTAGGCATGTAAAGGGCCAGAGTGCTGGTGGGATGGAGGATTTGAGGTCTTCTTTTGCCCCGAACAGCCAAGGTGCTGGTGGTCTGGGGTTGCCTTACAACAGTACTGAGCTGTCTGGATCTGGGATTTCACCCTGCGGACGTGCACCCTACCAAAGCAAGTATCCTTAGTGGATTATTTTGCCTTCCACGTATTTTTTTAAAATAATCTTTAAAATCTCTTTTTTTTGTCCTAAAGTTGAGTGAGGGTTATTTTTTTCCCCTCTATGATCTTGCTTTTCCCACTTCACAAGCCTTGGTTTAAACCCAATACTGAATGGGGAAGAAAGAAATGGAAAAACACAGGGAAGTCCCTTCCTACCCACCTGAAAAACAAATCTACATTAAAAACATCTAAAGCCATCTATATACTTCTCTATCTTGCTTCCCCACACTTTCATAGCTCAGGATTCTCTTCCATCTGCCCCATCTTTGCGTTTTCTAAATGTCTGGGACAAAGTTATCATTTCATATTTGTACTAAGGGTTTTATAACATCTCTTCATCTAGCAGAAGCTTTCAGAAAACATTGGCACTCGGGATTCATCCGAATAAAACTGGTAAAGCTGAGTTAATTCTGTTATAGCCTCAAAGCAGCTGTGTAAAATGATGCTTTTGAGCAAATGCCAAGTGTGTTGTGCAGGCACCAGTAGAGTGTATGGAAATAAATATATCTGCTGGAGAGGACTCCCCACGGCCGTGCTCACATCATTCATACAGCAGATGCTCCATTAAGTTTGTTTTCAGCATCCTTCAATGGAACATTAGCTCATCAATCAGATCTCCTTGTTGGCAGTAAAGGACTTTTTTTTTTTTTTTTTTCAATACAGAAGTTTGCGATAGTTGGATAAATAAAAAGCAAATTGCCCTGGACTTGTCTTTCTGCAAGATCAGGTGCTGGCATGGGCAGCCTGGGCAGGTCCCTACGGGTGAGCTGGTCTTGGAGGTGTTGGTGCAGCCAGAAAGGTTTTTTGGGGGGGCAAAATCGAAAGGGGCTTTCGCTGAGCAGGTCAAAACAATTATCAGCTGGAGGAGGGTCCTGAGGGAGAGCGGCTTGCACAAACATCTGAGGTAAGGCTCCATCCAGGATAAAACCCCTCTGCCTGCCAGCCTGGGCGATCCTGCTCCCGACCATCTCCCCTCCTACCACGGCTTCGACGCCTCGGATGGGCTTCCCCAGGAGCTGCAGGCACCGCATCTACCAACACCTTTCCTTTTCAGCGAGCAGGTAAAAAGGGGTTTGACATTTCCAGTTGGCGACCCTTGTCATGCTGCCTCTCGTGCGTGAGACCATTTTTAAGTGCGGGTGGTAGAAGAAGACTCAGCCCAGTGCTTCGCTGCTCTATCGTCCCTTAACCCGTAACACATTTCACATTTTGCTTCCAGTGTGGCTCGACTGATTTGTCTCTTTAGCTGTTTGTATACTTCATGTTGCAACAAATATGTTAGTATTGATCAACACCTGAAAAATGTACACCAGTCCCTTTTTGTGGGAGCTGGACTTGGTGTAGTAAGTTATGAGGAGCAGATTGGTTTTTTAAATTTCACGTTACAGTAGTATTTAGGGTTTTTTTTTTTTTAATTTCTTTGGCTCGACTGATTTGTCTCTTTAGCTGTTTGTATACTTCATGTTGCAACAAATACGTTAGTATTGATCAACACCTGAAAAATGTACACCAGTCCCTTTTTGTGGGAGCTGGACTTGGTGTAGTAAGTTATGAGGAGCAGATTGGTTTTTTAAATTTCACGTTACAGTAGTATTTAGGGTTTTTTTTTTTTTAATTTCTGCATCCAAATGATCAATTGGCAAACTTAAACAAAAAAAAGAAAAAAAAAAAGGTGCCTAATTAATGCTTCTGTTTTGTTCATATGGCTGAAGCTTCCCACATTCCTCTGGAGATAAGAAGAAAATTCAGAATGAAATCTTCTGCGCCGTGAAGTCCTGCAGCACGGGCTCAGGCTCACAAGGAGCTCCATCTGTACTTGGCAAGATTTTAATATTTTTATTAGCTAAAATAATTTATTTTCTATTTAGAATTTATTTAATATTTAAATATTTGTAAATATTTAGCATTTTCTTATCTTTGAAGCCATTTAAGATATGATTGTCCTCTCCAGGGCTGGAAGTTCACCTATGAGCTGGTCACCACAGGTTGCCTCTACGGGATGGAAATGAGCACTCCTAGGACACAATCAATTTAATCCCAGGGATTATATTACTGTCAATAAAGAGAAATGCACGCTTCAAGGGTACCAGTCATCCAGACGGAGCTACAAGTACGTCTCCATTACCAAGCAATGTTGAGCAAGAAGATCTGAGGTCGGTAAAGTAAAACGAGTGGCGCTGGGACTTAATTACCCTCCTGCACTCACTTCGGCCTTCCGTATTTTTTTAATTCAGCCCATTCTGGGGAAGTGGATGCTGTTTCGTGGCCGTGATGTACTGGTGCAGCTGCATCTAAAGGAAGCCCATCCGTGCTCTCCAAGAGCATCCACGGCGTGAACCCAAGTGCCCTAGCAGGGGTTAGGAGGTTTGCTCCAAAAAAACCCACGCTCCTGACCCCATCTACAACCGATCTAGGGACGTTCCAGCTCAGATGTAGACATCTGTAGACAGCTCTTCCATCAGATAATTCATCTGCAGAGGGGCTGAATGGGGGAGATGGGAATACCCAAGCTGAAGCTTTAAAATTCTGGTTTATGTATAATATATTTTAACACTGTGAAGTGGATATTTGAGTTGGTCATAGAAAGCTCACTGCAATCACAGCAAAGCTGTGCTAGAGACAATACCACTGCTCCACCCCCCACCCAGCACACGCAGGGGTTTTTCTTCAAAAGCTGATAAATTTAGAAATTTAAAAAACCCACCAAGCCAACTTCAAGTGCACGGCTTTGTTTCATGATGAAAAGGCTGCACCAGAACTAATGAGGCCACAGACAAGCACTGATCCAGTCTGAAAAAAGAAAAATAAAAATCCTTAAAATTTCCAGAAACCAGTGGCTAGAATCTGAATTTTCTCTGTTTTCCACATTTTGGAATGTGTTTATTTGATTTCATTTTTTTTTACACTTGAATAACCATTTTGATATTTCTTAGCGTACCATTACTACGGTGTATATAAATCATGGCAGAACTATTCTCTTTTAAAATCTGACTGTGTAATTAGGTCCTGCTCCTGTTTGACTTCAAAGCTTGGGTGAACGGCAGAAACACAGTTGCCTTGTATTTTGCTAAAACAAATACACTGTTTTCTATTGCATTTACTTTATCGGTTAAAATCCAACGTTTCCACAGTATTTCTCTCTTAGGGATTTATTTCACTGGTTCATTTATTTCTATTTAAATTCATCTAACTTGTAGAAATGATGGATGGAGAAAACCTCACTGTTTTGTCCGGCTTCATCCTCTTGGGCTTCTCTGATGCCCCAGAGCTACAAACCACCATATTCACAATTTTCTTATCCTTGTATGTTTTAATGGTGCTGGGGAACCTGATGATGATCCTGCTAATCAACGCCGACCCCCAGCTCCACACCCCCATGTATCTTTCATAGATTTTTGCCTTTCCTCCGCTATCGTCCCAAAGGCGCTGGAGACCTTCCTGCTGGGGAGAAGTCACATCTCTTTTTTGGGTTGTTTTGCCCAGGTCTATTTTTTCCTTGCTCTGTTTGTCTGTGAGTGCTTCCTCCTGGGGGTGATGGCTTACGACCGGTACACGGCTGTGTGCAAGCCGCTGCTTTATGCCACCGCCATGTCCAGGGCGCGTTGCTACGGCACGATGGTGCTGGTGTACGCCGCGGGCTTCCTCACCTCCCTGGTGCACACCGTCCTGGTGGGGAGGTTGTCCTTCTGCCAGGCCAGGAGCATCAACCACTTCTTCTGCGAGCTGCCCACCCTCCTGCAGCTCTCCTGCTCTGACGTCCGCGCAAACGAGATCTTGCAGGTTTCCAACGCTGGGCTTAACGCTGTGGGCTCTCTCCTGATGATCCTGGTGTCCTACACCTACATCCTCCACACCATCCTGCAGATGCCTTCGGCCAGGAGGAGGCTGAAAGCTTTCCCTAGCTGCGCCTCCCACCTGGCCGCCATCACCATCTTCTCCCCGCCGGGGATGCTCGCCC